TGATACTAAACCCATGTTTTATCTTATCCCCACTATGTACTTCAGTGTACATGGTTCTTTAAGTGTATCCTTGTAGCAACCAGACTTGCCATAAATTAGTGAGATGATATTACAGCTGAATTTAATTTCAAAGTCTCTCAGCAAGTTGTTAAGCATTTGTTGTCTAGGTCACTGCTGAGGAAATTTGAAAACTGATATGATTTATGAATATTACTATATTAGTACAGTATAAAAGGCTATGGGGAACACAAGCACATACTTTTGTTTAATTTCATTCCAATAAAAATTTCATTTCTTATAGCAAAACAAACAAGTAAATCAATGTTGAATGATTCTGTTGTTTTATTACGTAACTTATAATTTGCCTTTATACATCCGAGCCAAGTAAAATCTGAGACCCTGCTCATTTTTTTGGAAACATGATTAGTTAACACTTAGAATTATTCTGCAGAGGTTGCTTCCTTGAATGGCATCCATAATGTGATGTAAGAGAAGAAAGTCTAGGAACAAAAGGCTTGGCTTTTCCCCCCCTATGTATAATTATCTTATCCCTATTATTAGCCAATTTTTCAATGTAAACCTATTTCTTCTGAAGTTTAATCAACTTTTCATGGGATAATTAATTTCCTAAAATTCCTATAACATCAGTATTCAATTTAAGAAATGCTGTTACCTTGAGACTTGATGCTGTACAAGTTCCATGGACACAGAACTCCTGTTCCTCATCATGTAGCCCATCCCCATAACTGGGGAACAGCCCCATCTGTGAGTCCCTCTGAGCTCATGGAATGGGAAATGCTGAATAGTGAGAAGACAAGGTTAAAAGAGTCAAACTTTTGGCCATTTTTGCCAAATCACAAGCTAATCACAGCTTATATTAATCATCAGCTGAAGATTCAGCTCTCCTTTAAGACACTGCAGTTTGTGGGACTTGCACATGGAGGATCATGGTGACATTTTGGAGGATCTGGCTGCTGCTGTCTAAAGCATCAAGTCTGTTGGATTTTGCAATACCATGCAATGAAAATGTCCCTTACACTAGTGAAGGACTAACGTAAGCCAGTATAATTTCTAATTTATTGTAGAGGTATATACGTTAGCCTCTCAGAAATATTGCAGACATTTCTCCATCACTGGGAGGCAGTAATCCCCAAGTTTAACTAGGTTTTCTCTTGGACATACTGCTTGGCCTTAGGTGGGTCACTTAATCTTTCTTCCTCTCTGTTTTGCTGTCTATAAACATATGATAATATTGGCTCACATCACCTGCTGAATAAGCCAATATTCAACACAAATAGCTGATGTGAGATTAATATTTCTAAAGTACTTTGTTGCTGAGAATTGCTGTCAGTCCAAAGTGTATGCTACTGTAATTATGGTATGCAACAGAAATCAGGCAGCTTGTGGCTTTCTTGAGCCAGCCTCTGTGTCTGCAACCTGACTTCACATGTAGATGTCCAATGGAAAAGAGATTTTAAAATAGAAGTGTCCTTGAATCTAGATAAGAAACTTTCAGCCAATGGAGAATGTCCATCAACACCCACCTGAGGATACAGGTTTTTCCAGTGAGTTTTATCTGATTCAATATCTTTGTGCACTCAAATCCACCATTCTGGCTGGAGGAAGGGACAGCTGTAAGAGAAGAGCTGAGTTAGGTCAGGGTAGAGTTTGAAAAGACCCCTCAGGGTTTTGATTCACAGTGTCTGCCAAAGCCACACGCCTGATGATGGCCGAGCACGAGGGGACAGCAGTCCTGCCATCTCCACGTGTCTCTCACTCCATGCCCAAAGAGAAGATCCAACAAGCCACGCTGCTGCCCACTCACCAATGAATTGAAGTACACAACTACTCCCTTTGGCTGGAAATTCCCAGAGAAAGGATGACTGACCCATCCTTTTTCCATCCTCAGAGAAAATATCAGTTATATTTTCAGAGGTGAGCATCACGTACCTTGCGTCAAAGCCTTGTACAAATCGTAATGCATCTTCTGCCACACAGAGGAGGAACAAAGAGCTTTTCAGCATGCATAGGAGAGCTCAAAAATATTATTTTCTTTAAAACTGTGAAGTCATCAGAAAGGGCTGAAATTTTAGAATGAATGAGATTCCACTTATACTAAACAACTGCTGAGTTGAATCTTTTCCTTCTTTCTTCTGTGTCTCTTTGGCTCTAACTTGCTTCCTCCTGGAAAATGCTCTGAACATTTTGGGAACTGTAAGGGGCAAGAAACAACTATTCAGACACAGCTGGCCCAAGGCATTTCTGGAAAAATAAGTCACTCTATTCTCACTGTTGGGCAGTGGATTTTCCAGCAAAGTGTAACAGTGGGTAGGGCAGGCTTCCCCCCCCCCCCCCCCCCCCCCCCCAACTCCACATTTCCCCAGGGAATTCCTATAGATTTCTCAGCCCCCCCCCCCCCCCCCCAACTCCACATTTCCCCAGGGAATTCCTATAGATTTCTCAGCATCCACCCAAGCAATGTCATGGTGCAGCTGCACTGTGTTATACCAACCCAACATGTGTCCCCATGCCTGCAGATTTGTACACTTTTGAGGGGAGGACAGCATTACACAGATGCTTTGGCCAAAGCGTGGGTTGGTTTGTTTGCATGCTAGCTTCCTATAAAATGAAGAAAAAGCCCCGAAGAAAACAACAGCCTGGAGAGAAAAAGTCCCAAAATTCGAGAAATTGTCAACTCCAAGAAATGTGGTGGGTGTAAAAGCCACAAATCAAGCTTTACATCCATATGCAGCATCTCTGTTTGCTCTGAACAATGCTCAATGGTGAGAGTGGGGAGCCCCGTGAGCACTGCCTCCCACTGCGGACATGCCTCCCATTCCTGGGGATAGCAAGCTCCCCTTCCCACAGACAACCCCAAAAAGCCTCTGTCTGTTCTCCACAGCACTGGGCAGGATTTTGCTTCCTCTTTGTAAAGGCCTTTCCAGCAGTTTGGAAGTGGGTTTTTCTCCAGGAGCTGAGGGTACATCCCCAGCAGTGTGTCAGCAGGCAGCAGGGCAGGTCACTGGGTACAGAACTGCCTTTTGCACTGCTGTAATTGCTGGGGAGATGAGAAGCCACTGCCTCACTCCAGGTCCAGTTGAAGACTGGGTTTGGCTCATTAGTTTTAGCCCAGATCACACAATGTTCACAAGGGGTGAGACAATAATTCATCCTTGTTAACCTACAATAAGTCAGGAGAGGACAGAAAATGTTAGCTATGTGGCTAATATTTGCATATTGCCATTTATTAAAAACCATCACTGAAATGTGACTCAAAAGGAACTTAATTAGAGATTTTACAACCAACCCTTCTCCAAAATTTGAATAACATGGATTTAAAAAAAATCTTTTGGCAAATGTACAAAATGAAATGATCATGAAAAAAATACCAAATTTATTTATCATGAACATCCTCATCTCTGTGAGATCTCTATAGCAGCTGAAGGTATTACAGAGACTATAATGCACAGAGTGCTTTAGGGTGAGAATGTGCTTTTGAATAGGCTATAATTCATTTAAAACACAAAATGAGTTTTAATGCATGCAGTCAAAGCATTAGAAACTCTTTTAAAATAAAGGCTTTGTATATATTGGGTTATTCAATAGATGTAAGACCTCACTTATTCAGTGAGTGGAAATAAAAATTACTATATAAAACAACTTTTACTGTGTCCTTTGCTGCTTTGGAAGCTATTCTAGATGCTGTTACATCTTGCAGAGATTATAACTTTGTATTAGGACTTAAAATCTTCACTCCTTCCAAAAGATATTACACAACTCACTTGCACCATGATATTTGGGAAAACTAAATGCATGCCCACCTTCATGACTTCCTCAGAGAGGTGGCCTTGCAAGTCCACATAAATCTTTCAGCTGAGATTTGAGCACTGAGAAGGAGCTACTGAATTGCTGGCAATGTGAGATAGCATGAACTAATATGAACTGCATGCAAAATTTTGCTTTGTCCGGAATTGCCACTTGGGGTGAACTTGTAGTAACAGGCTCGTCAGAGACCTGCCAGGGGAGTCTCTCTGGCAGGCTGTGAGCTGCAGCTGGAGCTGCCTTTCCTGCAGTTTGCTCTGAGTTTAGGACATGCTTGTGCAGCTCTGCTATAATCTTTTAGCTGGAGAGGAGACAGAGAGGAACCCAACAGACCTGAAGCAGACGAATCTCAGGATAATCCCAGTGCAAACTCAAGCCTTGGGTGAAACTGCAAAAGTGAAAAGTTTATTGAGGCTCAGACTGGGTCTAAGGCCATCTCGTCTGGGCTGAGGAAGCTGTGGACCCAGGAGAGATGAAAGAATGCAGTTTGCTTGTTTTAATGACTGCCTGGGATGCCAGTAGCCAGAAAGGCATCCCCACCCCTAGATGAGAAGACCCACCCCCATCATGGAGCCACACACAGGGAGCTCAGTTCCCACCAGGCATAAGCTCAGCCCATCCCTCCATCATTGCCTACTTGACCACTAGCACAGCAGTGAGGCAAGTTTCACAGGGAGAAATAACACCTTAAACCTTTTAGAAAACCAAAGAAAATCCCAAGAAGACAAGCTTCATCAGCTGCACCACTGGGTCCAACAAAGCACATCACTGTCCTCATGAACTCTGTCTCAGCAAAGACAATACTTGGGCTTGACTTGTCTTCTGCTCTCCCAAGTAAAGAAACTGTTGTTGCTCCCTTAAAAAAGCACTTCCCATTCACAGGAAGATTTCCCTGATATTTTGCCAAGAGTTGTATAACAAATGGCTGATGAAACAAATAACAAGAACAGACCAGAGAGAAGAGAGGAAATATCTAAAAAGAGGAAAAGGACAAATGAGTCTTCAGAGAATATGAGCTATAGAGGATGGGCTGAGTTTATGTCTGGTAGATTTTGCTTCATTTCCAGTAATTCATGCTCTGTACGCTTCTAGAAACAGATAGATGAAATATTTGCAAAACCCACACCACTGGGTCCAAGACAAGTTGTGAGAAAAAGAAAAGTTTTCTAAGTTTTGACAGTCAAAATAGATTTGTCACTAGGCCAACACATAGAATTTTTCCCTTCTAACTTGGGCTGAAATAAGCAAATAGGATAATTTCTTCTGTGCCTGGTTTCTCTGTCCAGTGGATTCGCTCCACCACTGCTGTCCCCACACTGGATGGTCCATGGAGCTCAGCCAGCACCTTTTGTCACAGTCTTTGTTTTCTTTCAGGTGTTAAATAGTGGTCAGTTCATGGACAGGACTATCCAAACCTCCAAAGACAAAGGCACCCAGCAGATACTCTGAAGGCATTCTGGTCAGGGTGTCTGAAGAAGGTGCCATCACTGCTGTCAAACACTGGGACAGGGACAGCCCTGCTGGCACATCGGTCCAGCCTTGACACTGGGGAGGACTTCAGAGGAGTTCAGAAGCAGAAAATCCAGGAGGAGTAAGGGGAAAAAACACAAATAGGAGACAAAAAGAAAATGTGAGAATTAAAAAACCCCTATGCTGTGTAAAGTTTGCATATGAATAATATTTAAATAATGCTCATTTATAGGCACATTATGATCAAGCAGTTCTTTTTATTAACAGCATCATCCTAGGACCACTTTGCACATCTGTGTTTTCCATTAACACCAAGTAGCAGCCTCTGGAGCACATGTTGTTCTTTGTGCATCTACCCTGTGACTGTGAACACCAAAACTGTTACATAGATATTAGGGAATAATTCCCTAGATAAGCTGTGCATGTATTCACAAGTAAAATATGCAGCCACACCAGTGTGCACACAGAAAACACTCAATTTCTAAGAGCAAAACAAGAGCTCAAGGCAGGTTAGTACTACAGAGACCAAGCTCTGAACTGGCTACAGCAATCCATCAGGACCTGTAGCTGCCAAAAGACAGTGTAACAACTTTTCAACATGACCACATCTTAATTTTTGTTGGGGCTGGTTTCACCAGCCTTCCTCAAGACTCTTGTCTGTGAATCCAGAATATAATTGGACAAGAACATGCTTATTCTGACCATTTAATGCATGGTTTAGGGAAATTCAGGTGTAACTAAGCCCCATAAACTATCACTACCTCCTTCTGAAAAGTCACCTAGCAAGCTAAAAATTGTATGAGTAGCAGACTTAATTCCTAATAAAGTTTTTGTGTGTTTCATTTTTGCAATATTGGTACAAAGGAAACTCTTACACAAACAAACAAACGTTTCAGGTGACAAATGCCAGCTGGAAATTTCAGGTTAGAAATGCCAGCCGATTACCAGCAGTTAGGTTCTAAAGCACAACCTGGTTGCAAAAACTAGAAATTTTATCATTCATATAAGAAGACATTAAAGCTCATTAAACCAGTTCACCACTGTATCAGCAATTCTTTATTTCTGTGCAGAGATATTTTTTCCTGGGATAACAGTATCCATAGCAATTTCATGGGCGGGGTTCACATCAAGGACATGTGCTGCTAGCTGGAAAATTGCATTTGATCTCTGCTTTTCCTTATCTCTTTTCAGGTTTTCTTTTCTCTTAAATTTAAATACACTTTCATTAAAGAAATTATTTCCTTTCTTTGGGAGGCTGAATCAGAAGGCACTGAAATCAGTGAGAGCCTTTCCATTAATTTGGGAGAGCTATCTATACATTAGACTTTCAATTAGAAACAGTTAAATGTAGAGGCATAAAGAAACCAAAGATAAAGGAGAGGGGAGCAGGAGGTGGAAATGTTTCATGAACATTTACAAACCTCTAAGGTTTCATCTGGCTTTATGTTAAATTTAGGTCAAAGGTTTGGGTCAGCTTTTGTTCTCCTCAGCCCCCGTTTGCTCTGATCTTCTGTTCCAGAGTGGGATCTTGACAGGTGCACTGTGAAAAGGGAAAAATCAATTTAAAAAGCTGGACTCAAGGCCTGCTAGAGGCAGAATGATGAGACATCTGCTTTGCAGTTTGTTTCGTGTCAGAGAGAGCACAACTGGCTGAGATAAAGCAGCGCAGCACTGGGCTGAACACTGCAGACATCTCCAGGAAATGGCACGAGAGGGACACGTTGGAATTAGTGCTCCTGCTCGGCCTCTCCTGCCATCACCTCGGCGCTGACAAACCCTGGAGCTCTGGGGCTCTGCCAGACCCTGAGGTGTGAGAACCCCGGGCTTGGTCTGGGGTCTCATGTGGTGGGAAAAGTCTCTCCTCCCACCTGTGCTTCCAAAGGAAAACTCCTCAGGCTCTTGATGTTCGGTCTCAAGGCAGTTTATTGTGAGTTATCTAAAAGATTTTCTTCTCAGGCTGTGGCTGTTTGGTCAGCAGCTCAGGCAGAGGCACACACACACACCCTGACATCCTCTCTGACTGCTGTCTTCTTCTTCTCTCTCCCCACCCAGGGCTGCTGCTATCTTTTATATGATATATTATGTATTACATGTTTATAGTTTTCCCCCCAATACCCACTACCTATATTACAAAGTGCTTTTCTACTCTAAACCAATCTGTGAGTGCCAACATCACCAAAAACATGGAGGCAAGGAAAAAGAAGGAGGAAGAACAGGATCAGCCCACTTTCCTCCATCTTAGAACTTCTGACCCCCACGTACAAAGTAAAACCCCCCCTGTACAGGTGCTAAAACCCCCCTGTACAATACTAAAAAAAATTCCCCTCTGTTTTGTAACTACTTTTACAGCAGCAGTGGCTGTGTTTGCCACTTGTGAAACTACTCACTTGAGGACAGCATTTTGTTGACGAGTGGCAAAACACCAAATCTCCCACAGGGAGATGGATCACTCATCCTCCAAAGGTCACAGGACACCAGGGTAAAAATCATTGTCCCCAGCAGTCTTTGCCTGCCATTGACAAGAGAGGGTGAGGAACAAGAAGATTTTGGCACTTATGACACAGATCTATAAATAAGGCAACTCTATAAGGAGGGACAGTATTTTCAGGTTAATTTCTGTTGATATCATGTTTTCTTCTGTGTTTATGTGAAACAATATCATTTTCCATGGTTTTGAAATCAGCTCAGGACACAGTTGTTGTCTCACAACATTTTGGAA